CAATTTTTCAATATAAAGGACCAAATTGGGAAAACCTATAAGACAATGATCTAACTGAAAAAACCCCACATAAATAGGGACTTCCGAAGGGGTTTAACAAAAAAAAAGCTTGAATGAAATTATTGAAAACAAATTTCTTTATTTGAATAAAAATATGCTAGTAAACAAAGTGAAAATACAATTAAGAGTAAAGTATGGATCTGTATTCTATTTTTTCTTGAGTGAAAATCCTTATTAAAGTGAAAATATAAAAAACAAATCAACCTCATGCAACAAAACAAATTTATTTTCAAAATTTTAACCAACAAGTAAAACTCAGTTACATTCAAAATGATAAGTAAAATCATTAATTTTCTGAAAGATCATTCTTCACTCTTCTTAATCCAACCTTAATAATTCAAATTTTATATATCTATTCACATCAAACTCATAAACATTCTAATTCCTAACATTAAATATTTCATTCAAAATAACTATAAATTGAATTAATTTGTCCCAATTAGTATTCTAACAAAAGAATTTAAAAAAAACTAAGAAAATGTTCAAAGAAAGAGAAAAATAAAAAAACTGAGGGGATGAAGAATTTAGTTTAGTTTGATTCCACCTTACCACTATAATAACCTTGAAATCCATGCATTAAATTAATTTATGGAAAATGATACTTGAACAACCATTTTTGACAACATTTAGACACGCGCACACGTGTCTAAATTTGAGTGGTCCAGTTGAAAAAATTAAATGAAAATGGACCACTTAAATTTAGACACGTGTGCGCGTGTCTAAATGTTGTCAAAAATGGTTGTTCAAGTGTCATTTTCCTTAATTTATTTTGTTTCTATTTTGAAATTTTGCAATTGCAAATCATCACTAATCATTCTTGGATTTTTCAGGCAAGTACAGTACAGAAAAATTAACTTTTTAAAAATAGGAATTACATACATAAATTCTTTTGGGTTGAAATTCATGTGAAATAATAGACAGCATTACATTACATGTCTACTTGAAAACATTGTTTTGCACCTATTGTTAACGTTAATGCCCCCACATTCATTATGTCACTGTTATTACAGTCACCTAAAATAAAATCAAATCCTTTTGTCAGAGTCCCCACCCCACTGCTTCACAATGATGTTTCTTAGTACCCTTCGCTTTTAAAGGAAACCACCTACCTTCGATATTATTGTGAAAATTACTTAAATCTAAACTTTGCCACATAGTTTTCTGAAAAAGATGCCATCTTTTTTTTTTAAAAGAATTTGAAAACACCACTCATATCACCTTCATGCTATATTCTTTTCATTATTAAATATATTGATACGGTTGGATGTAATGTAATCAATCATACAGTGAAATCCAAATCTTGCATGAACAACAAAATATCTTCTTTTTGAAAAATGAAACCCTTTTTTATTCTAATAGGCTTGGTATGGTTTTAGGGTTAGATGCAAATGTAGCATGAATCACAACCTTCTTTATGAGACATGAAATACATTTTCTTTAATAGGTATAATTGTATTATTTAGGGTTGGATGTAAATCTAGCATGATTCACAACTTTCTTTGAGACATGAAAGCATTCAAATAGGTTATATTGTATTTTTCGTTTTACATATATTCATGTATGATTTCAATGCTTTAATTTATATTATTACCATTTAACTCTTTAAAATTTTTAATGCATTAATATTTAACACATACTATCATTTTATATAAAATAAGATAAATATATTAAAATAATTACCGAATTTGAATGATTCTTCACTTTAAAACTAAACTCCTATTACAAAAAGGTTGAAAAAAATATATATATTTAAGCCCTCTGTAATCTTAACTACAAAATATTATTACATACATAGAAACAAGTATCTACAACAACATCAAAATATTTAATTTTTAAGTTTATGTATTTTTTTTTTACTTTTACAACAATCTCTATAAAATCTAACAAATCTAACAAAATAAATAGCTAAAATATAAAAGTTTATTATTAAATAAAGTTTGTATTTGAGTATTGTATTCACTCCATCAAATTTAAAAGGAAAATGAATTTTAAATAATTAAAAAAATAAACTTGGGTAGATGAAATTAATATTAAATAATATTACACGTAGAATAAGGTATGAATAAATAAGCTAAAAGAATGATTGATGTTTACAAATTTTGTCTTTATGTGCTCCATTTTCACCTGTCTCATTGAATATAAGTTGGTATCACGTGGGATCCACCTAATTAGCTTTCACTTCACTAGGAGGTCCAATAAATTGATTTTACAACTTTTATAAAAATTATTTTTAATTAATGAAATGTTACTATTCATTAATTTAAGACCTGAGTATATAAAAAATCATTTGGCATGTTAGAGTATCAATTTTGTCATGATGTGTGTCATGGTGCTTAATTCCTAATTCTAAAACATAAGAAAATTTACTTAGGACATGGTTACATTATTTTTCTAATTTTAAATATTACAACTTAAAAAATAAATAACTAAATTTTGATATTGATAATATATATATAAAAGGAATTTAATAATTAGAATATTATACAATGTGCATGAAATATATAAGTATATGAGATACTAATTAATAAATATGGATGGTAAAAAATTTAATAACAACAATAATTCTCCTAAAATAAATACAAAAAATAGCATCCCATTTCTTTTTTCAAAAGAAAAAAACAAATGCCATTTATAAAACACAATACCACTTATAAGTCACTTGTCTCTCTATTAAACCAATCAATGAAAGAAATTTATGTGTGTGTGTATATATATATATATATATATATATATATATATATATATATATATATATATATATATATATATATAAAGAAAAAATTAAATAAATTTTCCATAAAATATAATTAGATAATGAATACTTTTTTGTATTATTCTGTAAATTTTCTTAATTAATTTTACTATATGAAAAAGTGTTTTATTCTCTCTATTTTCATATAAATCTCTATCTTAGCATACTCTTAATCTATGAGTAAATTTTTACATTAATTTGGTCTCTTAGTATAATGTATAATAACTGTTTAAATAAAGCTTACAAAAATATTTTAAAAACAATATTACAAATTGAAAGACAATTAGAACATACTTTAAATATTAAAAAATCTAAAATATTCTGAAAAATCTTATAGTGTCCTCATGTGTTGTCGAAAAATTAATTTGAAAAGTAAATAAGGGAATAATGAGTCGTTCTGTGTCCCTTTAAAGGCATCCAAGGTCGGGAGAAAGGCATTTTTTGCCGGAAGAAAACATGTTTCATATAAATTAATAATTTCTACTTAATTGGAAATTGTGCTGTTTGAAAGAGTCATAATTACTCATATATCCATTCATAACATTTATATATGGTTCTGTCCACCAAGATTAACTAATGTACACATAACAGAGTTAAATTATCTTTTACACCGTTTATACTTAGAAATATCTTAAGAATGTTGTAATTGGGAGCATTCTTTAAAGAATTTTCAAGAATAAATAGAGTTACACTTAAGTGAGTTTTAAGTTTCTCAAAATACTTTTAATTGAACTTTTATAAGTTTTTTTAATATTCAAAATTTTTATTTTTCTTAGTTGCATTTTTGTTATTTAAGCTTTTTGTTACTGCTATTATCTTATTTTATAATCTTACTTATTTATTTTTATTTATAAAAATAAATTTAGTAGTTAATATAATGATATTATAGCTAACTTAATATGGCAAGTGATTTTTAGGTTAATAATAAACTTTACATGCTTCAAAACCATTCATGTCTTTTCAAAAGTTTTAATAAAATATACAAAGCACTTCCTTGAACAATGTAATATCTTACAATGTAAATCTTTAACCTTCTAAAAATAACAATCACATTATTTAATTAACAAGAAAATCAAATGTCATAAATTTAATTGAAATTTTTTAAATATTTAAGTACTATGTATAAAAATTAGTAAATCCTTAGTTAAAAATATTCAATTTTCATAACTTTAAACTCACTTAAGCAGTATAATTATATATTAACATGAAAATATTAAGTACTATGTATAAAAATTAGTAAATCCTTGGTTAAAAATATTCAATTTTCATAACTTTAAACTTACTTAAGCCGTATAATTATATATTAACATGAAAATATTTTTTCTTGAGAAATATTAATTAACATTTTCTTACAAATTTCTTTCAATGCTATTGATCTTAAATTCATAAATTCTAAACTATTAAATTAAATAAGTTATCATTTTTATGATCTTAATAAATTTTAATCAATAATAATAAAATAATTTAAGAGAAAATGTTATCAGCATTTCTTTTATTTCTTTATTAGTGTGTGTCACTAAGATCTAATTCTAATTCTTACTCTTAATTTCAAAATCTTGTTACCAAATTAAGAACTCTGAATAAATTGAAGTATGTATGTTTACATCTCTAGGTTTTTTAATGATAGTATTAATATTTAAACCTAAAATATCATACATGTTACCCAAACTCCCACTACCTAACAATAACAAGTTCACATCAACAAATTTAAATTAACCCATTCAACAAAAATATGTTAAATAAAAAAAATTAAAACAATTTTTTTTAAATAAATCTAAAATATGTTTGAAAAAAATTAAGAAATGTAATTTAATAAAGTCATAAAATTAATAGAGAAAAACCTACTTTCCACAATATAAAAGATACTAAAAAACTAGTAAAATGGTAAAAATTGGAAAGAAAACCAATAAATTGAACATAAATGGTTAATAAATTAAATCTAAAGTTAAATTACTTGAAAATCCATTTTGCTGAAACTTCATTAATTTCCATTAAATTAGTCTGAGACAAAAGCATAAAATATAGATGAGATATATCTATAACGAGACAAAACATTATGGAAGAAGAAAAAATCCTAAGAGCATAACAAAATTACCACCAACATTATTATGTACAAAACATATGCAATGTCTGGTAAAGATGCATTCCAGCTAAGACCATCTCTGCCACCGGCCTAATATCAACAAAATTTGGGGCAACCATTTGATTAATTAAACTTCATAGTAAGAAAAAAAACATTCTGAACAAAAAGGGCACTTTCCAATGCAACGGTTCACGCGCTTCCTTTTGAAACTGACCAAAATACAAATGGACAAGAAAATGCCCCCATTGAACCATGGCAGCAGAAGGCTGAGTCCCCACAAGCACAGCCGTTCAACTAAAAACATTGGCTTCCACTTCAATAGCCTATTGCATGGTGGGGTCAACCACTGATGAAAACACCAGTAGTTACTACTGCTACTGTTATTACTACTACTACTCCTACTACCTTTTTTGCTCTCTGAATGTGGATTTTTTTACCATGACTTGTGAGAGGTAGACTTGGCACTGTATTAGAGTTTTACCGATCCTAAAGCCTGGAACAACAGTGAAAGCAACACGTGGCTCAGATTCCACTGCCATTTCTTCATCATTTTCACTCACACTCTCCATGTACACATCAGATAATCTACAACCCTTCTCCACTTGAAAGATTGAAGCTTGAGGCTCAAAGGAGAAGGCCAAGCAGTGTAGAAGCCACACCCTCTTGGCCATCTCAGCAAATGAGGTGAAGAAGTTGGTGTCAGGAAACTCTCCACCATTCAGCATGTTCCTCTGATTCACGTTGCCAAAGAATGATGCCTCCATCTTGGGATGAACAAGTCTCAAGAACTTGATCCTGCAGAATTTTGCAAAGGGTGATCTTGGCTTCCCTGAAAGAAACTCCATTGCTTTCACTGGTTTTAGCTCGTTGAACCTCCCAAAGAACAGTTGCCTCTTGTTTTTATCTGGCAGGGATTCGTTGGGTAGGGAGAAGTTAGGGAAGTTGAAAGAATCAAACATCTCCCTGCACACAAAGGACTCAATTGCAAAACATTTGTGATCTTCTTTCCAGTACACCACATTCTGCTCGATAATGGCATTCACTGAAGCATCAATGTCCCAATCTGCAGATCTCATCTCATTCACTAACAACTTCACAAAGTTTCGAATGGACCTAACGGTGTGGCGAAGAACAGTAACAAAATGACTAGGACTTAATCCTGAAATGTGGAGGTTGTCAAGAACTGATAATGATCCACTTTGATTTAACCTCTTCTCAATTGACCTGCTTTGCTTGGTAGCCTCCTCTAGCTTTTCTTGAAGAAATATAATCTCAGATTCCTTGAGCCGAGCCTGTGATTCTAACTTCTCCCCTGTGATCTCAAATGTTTTGTTCACACTCTCCAGCTCCTTCAATTTAGCTTGAAGAATTGCTCTATCTGGTGAAGGATCAAATTGCTTTTTAAAGAAACATTTCTTTAGGTCAGACAAGGTCTTGAACTCTGAGACTATCAATTCATCAGCAGCTTGAATTACATCAGGGTCATAGGGAGACTGAGCATGCTGCAGCTGAGCATAAGAAGCTTTCACCGTTGAAATGCTAGCAAATGCATTTGCAAGCAAAGCTTCTGTGGCCTTTCTTTCCTGAAGCTCTTCATCTTCTTTGATTATATTTCCTTCATTTTGGAGATCTGCATCCCCTTTAACGTTCTTCAGTCCATCAACTGGTGCAATTCCTGTCACTGCTCTAACGTGAAGAACTTTGGCAAATGTGCGAGCCAACTTGTTTTTGTTTGGTGTCACTGCTGATGGCTTAACAGATTCCATCTGCAGAAACATTACAACTTAGCAAATGAAGGTGAAAATAGAGAAGTGTTCAAGGGTTTAAAAAGACAAACAAGGGCAATAATGTCTTAACAATGGTGGTCATGATGAGTGTTTAGAAAAAGAAAAAAAGCATTATGCTTTAATGCTTAGATCGAGGCCTTTAATGGAGGCTGGAATTTTTCTTTTTGTTCTTCACCTGTAAAAGTTTAATGTTTGGCAACTTTCAAAGACTGCAAAAAGACATTTCTAACCAAGCTTATTTAGAAGACAGGGACCGGAAAGAATAAAGAATGAAGGACATGATCAAAAGATGCATTAAATTAAGTTATGCTATATCCACGTAACACTAGGCATCATGTCCAAGGTGGCAATTACCAACGTGAACATAAATGAAACCATTATGGCAAAAAGAAGAAGATAATTCAGTAGTTGAACCGACTTAAGAGAATGTACACATTATATACTCTTTGAAAAAGAAAGGTTTTATTATAGAAAAAGGAAAGCTTAAAGCCAAAATTTAACACCGACTCAGCCAAAAAAACACAGGGCCCTCATTTCTGCATATTTTACTGTGATTTTACATGCATATCAGGACTTGTTTGGCTTCCTCTAATTTCGGTTCAAAGAGCATACGAGAATTGGCCCATCAGTCAAACTGGTCAGAACTTCTGTACAAAAGGGTCAGATCAATAGTTTATCTTCAGTACCGATTGATTATGAAAATAATAATGATTAAAGCCATAATCAACACTAATCCTGTTCACTTCCCATGTCTTACAAAGGCAACTTCAGTCAACAAAATATGCATAACCTCATTGAATAGTTAAATCCAAAAGTAAATTCAAGTGATCTACCTTTGTTGGACAATCATTACATGATGCTAAATGATATTTTAATTATGAGTATTTAAGTAACAATTATCAAACTGAGAATTAGTTGTTACTTTTGATATATATATTAGACATGTATTCATCTGATTCATAACCCCCTAGGATTCCCTGAAATCTTCATAATCAACAGGTAAAGATCAGGCCTAGCAGCAGTAACTTGGTAGTGTCTGCAATATAGGACACATTATGAAAGTGAATATCTGACATGGAACTTTTAAATTCAACATGATGACAATGAGAAAAACGTATCAACCCCATCAGGAATCATCCAATCACTACATGGTAAAAGAGATACCTATCCCCAGTTCTCACTATGCCTAGAAGGACCCTTTAAACCTTCTCAAATGAAACTAATAATCTACTAATTGTAGTTCATAAATATCATAGTAAATAGGACAAACAAAAGTAATTAATTCAACAGAAATACAGAAACTCATGAAATGAGTGTACTTCAAAGCCTCACTCATCTTCCAAACATTTTAACGCGCTTGGTTTTCGATCCAAAGCTTCAAAGGGACGTTGAAATCACTCACATATCATTGGTGTCCGATGAAAAAACAAACAGACCCTTGTTCCTTCCCCAGACAAAAATCACATAATGAAAACTGTATCTGAAAGGTAAAAAACCACATAACAAGAAAAAGCACCATTTTCTTACAGCCATTGACTCCTTACCTCCACTTCTGTCATTTCAACATCCACTACACAGGAATTAACATTCACATGACTGGTATTAGAAAAGTCAAAACAATACAAGATTAGATTCTTTGGTGCTTTCAAAATCCACCAGACACAGGACATGTTACCTTAAGAAAGCACAACACTAGACCATGGGGCCTTAAAAAACATTAACCCAATTCCTTATTTCATCCAAAAAATACCAACCTCTCTTCCAACAGTCCACAACAAACAAAATCCGTTATAGATGCTAGAAACCTAGGTATTAACCATGACATCAACAGCCATAAACATCAAATAAAAGCGCCAAAACAAAGCACCTCCATGCCTTCTGGCAATCAAAATCACAACTTTTATGTTTCCCACTAATGGCCACAACCACAAAGTCCCTTTTATTATTGATGGATGCTATGCCTAGATAAACACTAAGCAAGTCAAAACCCAAAAAGATTAGTGTGAATGATAAAACTAAAGAAAAAAAATCAAAACAAAATCAAACATTAACGGCTTAACCATTGATTTGACAAGCCAAGGGATTTCTTTTCACTGTACCTTACAAAATCTTCCGAGAAACAAGGGGAGTAGTAGTATGTGCTAACTTCTCCTCATGGTAAAACGTAAATCTCACGAAAACAGAGACAGAACAGAACAACTCAAAGATATGATGCTTGTCCAAGCGAAAACTTCAAACACCTGCAAAATCAATCGCCCTTCCAAAACAAAAACTACCAAGAGTAAGAACAACAGTTTATTTTATTTTCCTCCAAAACACCAAAAAGGTCAAAAACAAAAACACCTAAAGGCAAACAAAAAATGAAAACTTACAACCAAGTTAATATAAAGTGCCCAAAGTCAACAAAATGATCACCAAAACGTGTTTGCAACAAAAACGCGTTAAAAAGATATTAGTACAAACAGAGACTTTACATTTTACCTTCAAACGGGTAGCACCAAAAGTTTATGTTTTTGAATTAAATTTCTATCCCCTCATCAATATAAAGAGAAAAAACGGAAACGTAAACGAAAATGGAAACAGAAACGGCCAATAGCGAATAAACAAAAACAAAAACAAAAAAAAGAAAAAAAAAAGACGTTTAATGTCTTCGTGAAGTTTCTTATGAAGTTTCCTCAGCTAACCTGAAGAAGGAAATTGAATGAATGGTAGAAAAAACTGAAAAAGGCCCACTTGACCCTTTGGTCCAATCTCTTCAAAGACCCGTTCTTGTTATTGTGTTGTGTGATTGATTCCCTTGTTTTCTTCTTCTGAGACTCTCTGGTTTATTTTCCGTCCCTTAGAAAACCTCGTCGCTCGGTTTATAGGCTGTTGTGTTGTGTGTTTTATTTATTTTATATATGTATCTTTTTTTTCAGCGTCCCTTTCGCAATGGCAGAGACAGAAATACGATAGCTGTAATGCGAGAGAGGGAAAAAAATCCAGAGAGAGAAATCTAGAGAGAGAAAGTGTGTGTGATGACGAACAGGGACAAGGGTTGATATGTTGGGAGATGACAACACTCTCTGGGCATTGGGAATTTAAAAGGCCGCAGAGCGTTGTGTCGCTTTCGGTAATTTTGAGGCTGTTTTTATGCCCTTGGAGTACCAAGGTTTTACGTGTTGCGTTCGAGGGCGGGAAGGGTAGGAATGGAAATTCACATATTCGTTCCTTCTGCATGAATAGAAAGACTTGGAAATTGAAAATTCCCTATTTTAAATATTGTAATATTGTAGTAAAATAATAGGAAATTACGAATTAAGAATTAAATATGTTTTTATATGAAAATTTAAAAATTTGTTTGATTTAAATTTTCATACAATATAATTTCTAAATTTTAAAAGTAAATTAATAAATATTTTACTTAAATAAGATTAATTTTTCTTAAAGTATGTTTTAGATTAATATTTAAGTTATGGGTTAAATATGTTTTTAGTCCCTAAACTATTGGCCATTTCTGGTTTTCGTCCCTCTTCCAAAGTAAGGTACAATTTGGTCCTCATTCTTTAGAAAAACGTTCGTTTTAGTCCTCAAAATTTTGTTTTTAGTCCTCGTTTTAGTCCTCAAAACGTTCGTTTTTTCGACTAAAACGAACGTTTTTTAAAGATTGAGGACTAAATTGTACCTTACTTTGGAAGAGGGACGAAAACCAGAAACGGTCAATAGTTTAGGGACTAAAAACATATTTAACCCTTAAGTTATTTAAGTCGTTTTACAGGTTAGAGTTCAAATTTTATAAATATCATTTAATAAATTAAAAAAATTAATATTTTTAGACTAAAAAAATTTATATTTATTTATTTTTAAAGTCTAGTAGAAATCAAAATGTATTAAAATTTAGGATAAAAACAAAATTCATTTTTGCATTCAAGTATAAAAATATATTTAACCTATTAATTAATTATTTTACTTTAAGAATATAACGTGAGATCTGTCATGCAAAGCTACCAATAGGTATGCAAGAAAAAGTGCAAGGTGAGCTGAGTATCTTAGTTTGTTAGTTTGTTTGGACTCGTCCCGCATAACTTAGGATGGTCCTTGGGTCAATGACGAATTAGCCTGCATTTGGACCGTATAATTCGCATTAAACTCATCGTGTGTGTTTCTTATTCGTAACTTCCCATTGGCTTTCTTCTTTGGTCTATATAAAAATAGTTCGTTCATTTAAAAGTAGTTTCATCATTCCCTTATTTTAGTCCATTTCAAAATCATTTTTATTTTTCAACTTAAAAATTATTATAAGTTATAAATTATGAATATTACTTATTTTAAGAAATAGCTCTGTACAAACTAATATTTCTATTAATTTAATTAAATAAATTAAAATTATTAAAATTCTTATATGAATCGCATCCTGGTCCACAAATCCATGGGCCAAAAGTTATGTGGGGCTAGCTAGAGAAATTAATCCACATTTTTTTACGGGGACGATAGAGACTGACTCACTTTTTGTAGGTCAAATATGAAACGGATCAAAACGAGATAGATTAATCAACATTGTCATCCCTAATTTACTTTCTACAATAAGTAAGTAGATGGATAATTTTTTTTTATCCTTTTATTATTATCTTGAATATTTTAATTTGAATTTATCTTTAAAAATTAAAGTAATATAAACGTTTTCATTAATGTTATATCATGGAGTAAATATGTTAATAAATATATTATTTATGACATTAATTAATTAGTTGCTTAGTTTTATTAGTGAATTAAATTTTATTAATGATGTGCATTTATTTTTTATATCACATGTAATTATTATAATATTATTTTGTAACACCATCATAAAAAAATATATAATAAAAATTAAAATAGAGTTTAACATGTATATACATAAAAATAAAATATTTATAAAAGATAAATTAAAATAAAATAATGGCTTAAATGCTTAATTCGTCCTTATGTTAAGAGGTGAATTTCAATTTCTGTTTAGTACCCGGTTTTAAAAAGAAAGATATTGGGTATAAATAAGGTCATGTCCGTTAAGTTGACAGCAACGACGTTAAGTCCATGCTGATGTGGTCATACTTTTTCTCTTCTCTCTTCTGTTGTCCAGCTTTTTCTCTCTCTTGTTCAGCTTTTTCTTTCATGATTTGTTGAAGTTGTTCTTTTTTTGTGGACCTTATTCATATATTTTTCATAACATAGAGATCCAATGTCTTCATTTTAAAAATCGGGTACTAAAAACAGAAATTCACCTCTTAACATGGGACGAAATAAGCATTTAAGCCTAAAATAATTATTTTTATTTATGTTATTTTTTATTTATATTTATATCTCATGTATATAATGTAGTTACAACATATTATTACACATATAAAAGATAAGTTAATCAAATAAATTTTTAACATAAAAAATATGTATGTAAAGAAAATAATTTAATTAACAATAATTCAATATCAATCAAACAAGTATATTGTATTTAGTATATGATATTCAACCAATGGAATATCGAGCTATATTGAAAATTTTATATTAATATTAAGCATGTAGCACTAGATACTAAAATCTAATCCAAATCAATCATTATATTTATATGAAAATTTAAAAATAATTTATTATGGTAAGTTCATTATAATCTAAGTTTGTATATTTAACTATGCTTAAGAGCTCTCTTTAGCTACTTACCACTTTATGTCTTAATCTATGTAATTTAGACCATAACTAAAACATAAAATTATTTGTTACAACATATATGTCAATACTTAATACACAAATTAAACAATAATTCACATATCATCTTAAATTTGTGACTCCAAATTCATAGAAGTGTTATAATTCTCGTACCATATAATTCATTTAAACCAACTTAAAAATTAACTAAATATGCATACTAATATTCATTTTATATTTTATAATAAACATTAAAATTCATTAAAGAAACAAGAAGAGGAAAAGGAGAAAAAATATTAGCTTGAGTAAAAAAAAATTCCTATGTGTAAAATTTGTTTAAGTAAAATATTCTTTGCTTAAATGAAAAATCCTTCGTTTAAGTGAAACTATGGCTAAAAACAATGATGAATTGTAGTGTTATTTTCGTTTGGGTGAAAGTTCCTTTGCTTGAACGAAAAAAAAAACATTTACGAGAGTGAAAAATCATTTGCTTGAGCAAAAATAGGACCAAAAGTCAAGCTTAGTTTCTTGCTCTAAGTTTTATTTTGAATGAAAATCATTTGTTTAAACAAAAATATCATAAAACTAGCCCCATGCAATATAATCAAATTCTATTTTGTGAAGAGTTTATTCAAAGGCATTTAAAAACATAAATTTTAAACAATTAAAAAATATATTAATATAAACCATAATTTGTTCAAATATCATCCTTCATTCATATAAATTTAACATTGTCATTCATATTCATTGTGTATATTTCAATTCTCATCAAGCTTGTAAACTAACATGGAATATTTTGCTTCAAGTAGTCACGAACTAATTTGTCTTAAATGTAGTAATATAACACATAACAATAACACAAAATAAATATAATCTCAAACTCAAACGTTTAAAATATGTTCAAACAATAGATGACTATGCATAACAATTAAGATATTGTGACCACGTCACCATCATATTGAGATCATCTATCTCGAGGTTTTATAATTAAAAAAAAACATAAATAGTTTATCTTACTTAAAATCTCTCTTTTCAAACCAACTTCTAAATTTAAAAGTAAAACTATTCAAAATCTAGAGACCTAAAGTAAGGTAGCTAAATATAACAAAATTTTAGTAGAAGTTTAACCAAGTTAACAGGATTATCTTTATCAATTAACTATACTAATATTGATGACAAAATTATAAGAAAAAGAAGATAATAGAGAAATTTTACAATAAACACTAAAGGAAAAACACATTTTACTAACGACCTTATATCTGTCGGTAAACATTAAGTACTAATGAAATTATCGACAAACTTTTCTATTTCATAAATCAACAAAAATATTTGTTGGTAAAATGAATTTACCTACAAATTTACCAACAAAGGTTTATGTTTGATTTATCAGCAGATATGTTTGTTGGTAAGGAATTAGTGACATAATTTACCGACTGATTAATTCGTCTATATCTTCTTCGATGAAATCATGTTAAAATTTGGGCATTTTCCTCCCACAAATTTACTTTCGAAAAAAGACGCTCTCCTTTGCTTTCGAAGAAAGACACACTCCTATGTTTTTTTTTTCACTCCAACGAGAATGACATTTGATGCTTCACTCCTTCTTCCACTCACAGTCGTGACGTGAGGCAACCAACTAGGTTAACGCTACCATCGGAAGGCCACTATCGTGACGTAAGAGTGGATGATGAGGGATGTTGGTCGAGGGTTCATGTTTTGTTTGAGGGATCTTGTTCGAAGGTTAGTGGTGCGTGTGAGGGATCTTGGTCGATAGTCCCTACTGCATTTATTGCAGCTGTCGTCGTTGAGAGAGGTTATTGAAAGGCCTTGCTGTCAAGGTATGTTCTATGTTTGTGGAACAAATTGTTAAATATGTGCAATGATAGTCATGCGTATTTGGTTGTGAAATCTGATGTCATAGGAAGTTTAAATTGAGTCGCACTTTCTTGTTCAGTGTCATTGGAAAAATTATTGAGAGTTGTAGAGGTTATTATCATTGGTTTTGAATGAACTCGTAGATGACATGTATCTCCAAATTTTTCATATATTGTGCAACATCAATTTCATCTGGTTTTGTGTCTGCTAGTTGGTTTATGTGGTATGCTGATTTTGTGTCTGTTGGCTGGTAAAGGTCTTGGTTGAGTGAAGAGTTCAGGTAGTTGCATTTGTCATGATAGGAACTATAGAACGAAGCATGAAGAGTATGTTACTGAGCTTCTCTCTTTACTTTCGGTGTCTAGGTTATTTGATTTGAACTCTATGTTGTCATCATCATGCTTCCTTTTCCGACCCATCCCTTGATTTCTAGAACCATTTTCAGTAGGAGGAGAAAACATTTACATAAACAAGGCATAATAGCAAGCTAAAGATAAAGGATAGAGAGAGTAATGTTTCAGGAACATATAATTAGA